GATAATTCGAATTGATTTTTTATGGAATGTGAACATTAAAATAAGTTTATACAAAAATAAAATAATATACAGAAAATAGTGTAGTGAAATAGTTATGGTGAAAAATAAAACCACGAAAATGTCCATAATTTCAAGATATTTTTAACTATACCATTTCTAATTATTTTTTTAGGTTAACAAATGTAAAGTAAGTCAAAGAGGTCATTTTAATAAAAAAAATCTATATGTTAATGAATTATAAACCTTATTGCTTACCTCTTTAAGTGCAATTTCCAACTTCTGCGCTTTCTTCTCGCTCAAACTCTGCACCGCTTCCCAAGCTTGTTTCAATTCTCCGCATTGTTGTTTTATATTCGCGGCGTCTTCTGCCGGCACCTACATTCGAAAATAACTCTTAACTCTAAACACTTAAGATTCAATTGTGAATATCATATACATTACGATAAGGGAATTTAAAACTAATCGCTTAAGAAATAAGGTTGATATTTACCGTGGCCTCTAAATCTTTGCCTGTCTTCATGACAGATTGCATCTGTTGTTCTCGTGAATGTAAATCTTCTTCAAATTGCTGAAAAAAAAATTGAATTAGTGTTTGATGGCGTCTTTTATACGTATATTTCTTAGTTAGCAATCCTAGTTTTATTCGGAATATAATAATTATAATATTTTTACATAGAAACTAAATCTTTGATAATAGAGAAATGGACTAGGCACACTACGAACGGACACTTAGAAAAACGAGCACAGAACACAAGTAAGAAGCAAATTTGGAATGTATCACTAGTTTTTATTTGGAAATGGAATAGGCACAATTGATAAATCCTGTTAAAAGTTGAAGTTTTTAGAAATCTTCCTAATATAAAAAAAAAACTCCATTCCAGAATTTGTATTACATCTGTGTCAAATATCCAAAGAGATCCGTTGATCCTTGTTGAAATAGTAACATCCATCCATCCATCCATTTAAAGCATTTATAATATTAAGATACCTTATGCTGTTCAATGAGTGCCATGACAGTATCAAGGTCTCCGTGCACTGGCGCGTCTCCTGCCAGCAGTTTCTCCCTCTTCTTAAGCCAGTCCAGCAGCGCTGACATCGCGTCCTTGAACTGGCCCGAGTACAGCAAAGCTTCTTCTAGACGACGTTGTCTATACAAAAAGTATGGATAAATATATATAGCTTTTGTCCGCGACTTTGTCCACGCAGAAAATATATTAGTAAATAACCCATATATCATAGTTACAAGGTAAAAAACATTAATTCATCCAAACTTTGCATTTTAATATTAAGTAGAGTAATATTAAGAGTATCAAGTAATATTATATATAATAGAAATGTAATGTGAACATACGAAACACTAGCTTTCGCCCGTGACTCCGTCCGCGTGGTGTTAAAAAAAATACCAAGTAGCCTATGTTTTCTTCCAGACTACCCTCTAGATGTATGCCAAATTTAACTGAGATCCGTTAAGCAGCTACAAAGTCTTAATAAACATCCATCCATCCATCTAAACTTTCACATTTATAATATTAGTA